TCATTGGCATCATGATCTTCTGCAACCACGTGTTCTTCCTCTGGGCCTGGGTGGCATTCCGTCTGCTCGAAACCATCGATGTTCACAGGTGGGAGACAATAAGAGCTTTAAGTGTTATGTCCTCACAGATGGCCAAGTAAAACACAATCTCTGTGTATTTTGTGGTAGTGACCACTAGAGGGACACAGAGGACTATTTTAACATTTGTAAAAATGTATGACGCCAATTTTGAAGAACCTTACTAATATTTCTTGTAGATTTTAGTCATTTATTTTCACCACTGATTAATATGGAGAGCCATTTCATTCAAAATTAAATACATAAATAGTAGTATTGATTTATTGTCAATAACATTTTTGTATTTAAGCTTTGAATAAATAAAAAACTTGAAACATAATAAAATAAAATAAAACGAAAACTATCTTTCATTGGGATATTCATTTATTCAATGGAATATTTATTGAAAATGTATCAATAGCATTATTTATTTATTAATTTAATTTTGAATGAAAGGGCTTTCCATAGTGGAAAAGTAAAAATAAAGATATATATATTTTTTTTAAAGTAGGTGTTTAATTCAAAAAAGTCTTAAACTACTGGAAAAAATTTGATATTTTTAAAAATCTATTCTCTTTTCTTATATATTTTTATAAAGAAACTAATTACTTTATATGCTATTGCTTCTTTATGGGCATTTTTTTTTTTTTACATTTAATTAAGTAAATATGTAATTTTGTATTATCAATAAAAGCCAATAATACTAGTACTCATTAGGGCTGGAAAATGAATTACATAAAAAAAACTAAATAAATTCTAAATTGCAGAGGCAGTCAATTTCATTTCAGTTTAATTACAAGTGCAAATTCACAACATATCATCTCAAGGAACTTTAAAGAGTTAGTTCAATCAAATCATAGAGATAGATTGAATTTCTTAGCATGCATGCAGCAGCAGTGGAGAGAAACAAAAAAAGTTTTAAGATGAAACTCATTTGATCCTAAACTTCTTTTAAAGACACTGTAATACACTCATTTATTACTCCGGGCCTTCAGGTGGTGGTGAGATGCTTAAAGTAGGTTTACTGCCACACAGAAGGGTGGAGAGAGTGTATGCAAATTAGAAGGGATCACTTTACACACTGCAGTCATGTCCTGTGTTATCGGACTTTGGAGCCTTGAATGCTATGAAAAAGAATTAACCCTTTAACTGCATGGTCAACCATTTGGTTGATCATGCAGTAAAAATACAATTAAACATTAAAAATAAATGTAATTAAAACATAAGATAGATAAAAGTATTTTTGGAAGCAGTTTTGAGGCATTTATTTTATAAAGTTAAACATGTGATTTATTTTATTTTGTATATTTATGTTGAGTATTGTTTATTAAGCAGGATATAATTAAACTATAGGGCTATACAGAAGGTTACTAAGGATCAGAGCAGATCTATTTTCTTACTAAATGAGAATAATTAGTATCTTAAAAATGTATTGTAATAGTGTAGTGTTATTGTGTTGGCATATTTCAACACAAATTACCTGGAAAAAGGCAAAACGATGTTAGTAGTTGATAAAAACATATTGTTTTGTTGGAACTGCTCACATGTTGAAATTAGGGTAGTTCATGAATGTGTTTTTAAAAACCATTTAAAAGGAAGCAGCTATCATTTCTGCAGTGTCACTACTTCACTTCCTTCCTGTTTTAAAGCTTTTGCTGTTCATCTTTTTATCTGAAACACAACAACATTCTGATTTGTTTCACTTAATAACGTGCCTCACCTTCATTCCTGTATTATTCCTCATCTCAGCGGTTATGACATCCCTCTGAACCCGCTCCACCTGATCCCTTTCTACGCTGGCGCCCGTTTCCATGACTTCCACCACTATAACTTTGTGGGTAACTATGCCTCAACCTTCACCTGGTGGGACAAGCTTCTGAACACCGACTGCCAGTACAACAAGTTCATGGAGAAACAAGAAGAGAAGAAGGAGCAGTAAACCAACCTCTGTGAGAAAGAGAGAAAAGTAACACCACAGCTGTTTTTAAACAGGCTATGTGGGTGAAAAGCAGGCCCGCACTGCTGTGTTCAGAATCTCAATCGGACCGAAAGTTTACCTTCTGTGCCTTGATGAATCTTAAATATGCTACTTTTGTCACCAGTTGCTGGCTGAATAAAGAAAAACATCAACATCATGGTTTTTTTTTCTCCTTCTCTTTTCATGAAATGAAATGAAAAGATAGTGTACCATATCACTGTTGTGAAATGCTCCTCTCTGAATGCTTAAGCACTTTAGCACTTCCTCCTTGAACTGATCGCCATCGATATGACTTAAGTTCTTCCAGTTTATTCTGCGGTGCAGTAGAGACTGTCTGAATGTGTTTGATGCAAACTCTTGTCATCTTTAGGTAGAAAAGGGAATGGTCTTGTATTTCTCTTCTGTGTTGTCATAAGAATCAAAAGCCTTTTTGATTTTAAAAATGAATAAAAATACAGTTTATTGTTTCTTCTGCATTTGTGTTCAAATAAAAGTGTAAATATTCAAAATATATGTTTTGGTTGTAGTTAAACTGATTTGGATCCTGAGGTGTATATATCAATAAAAATAAAATACACTTAAAAATATGCTTTTGAAGAGATTGATTAATATCTTTGCTGCTATCAGAGAACGTGCAACTTCATCCAGTTTTCAATTGGTCCTTAAGCAGCTGACATTTAACAGGAAGCAGAATATAAGGTTAAATATAGTGCATAATCTGAACATACCTATGGTAATTATCAGTCATCTGGGTCATGGCAATCATAGAACCACAGCTTAAATCCAAGGCAACCGGAATTTGGCTCAGTTTTTCTTAAAACATTATGTAAAAAAAACAGAATAAATAACTTAAGAGTTTTTTTAAGTATCAGATTATAATGTCCCAGACTAATTTATATATTGTGGTTATTTTCTCTATTTGAAAAGAAACCAGAATACCAGAAAACAGCAGTAGAAAATAATGTATGAGCTAAAGAACTGTTCTATAGGAAAGATTACACAGTCAAACAAATAATACATTTTGAAAAACTTCTTTATCTAAAGAAAGTTTTAAGAGCTGATGGCCACTCACTCTGAGCCTGCTGGAGATTTCTTCCTGTTAAAAGAGAGTTTTTCCTCTCCATTGTCACTACAAGCATGCTTGGTGTGAGGCAGTGCCTTTGAGTTGATGAGTTGTCAACTGGTTTTACGACGTGTTGTGAATTCACCTTATATAAAATAAAACTGAATAGAATTTAATTTAGAGTAGCCCAACTTTGCTGTCTTCTTAGAATTTATATTTCAAAGAACATTTCAGTTTTTCAAATTCTTTTTCAAAATTATCTTTCACCAATTAACTTTTACCAATTGCACTGTTTTCAAATTGTGTTTTACAGATCACATTTCCTTGACTTTAAACCCAATAAAAAGGCTCATATGAGATGCACATTGACCAATCAAATTCTTATAGCTAACTTCAAGTGATGTGGGGAAAAAATAGATTTGGTTATATATCGTGATTTTTGGCTAACTGATATAATATCCATCCTTCAGTTCTTTCTATAGATATAAAAATAACCATTTTTGCCTAAACCCTAAATTACATGGATGCCAAAGTAACTGTACAATCAACATCTTCTGATGAACAAATACAGTACTTTCTTTTCTATACATTTTATTTTGATAGTTTGAAAAAATATTGCAATATATAGTGATGTTGCAATTTCATGATAATATCGTATTGCTGATACTCACCCCTACTAACTTCAATGCAGACGAAGATGTTCTCGCTCCTCATTCCAGAGAAAAGCTCGCCCCCAGAGGTGAAGAGAATGTGAACTGTGAAATGCAATTTAACCCTCTATTTTACACTCAGTGAAATACTTTGAAAATTGAAATTTCAAGGCAATAGTGTTATTGGAATCCAGGACAAGACTATATTACCTTAGTTACATTAAAAAAATATGGATATTTTGATGGTAAAAAATAATGTCAATGTAATAACAAGAAACATCAACTTGCCTGAATTTTCTAAGAAAAATAAGAAAAGTGCTTCTATAAGAAATTCATGAAAAACACTCAGAGAGTGAAAGAAACACATTTTTTTTCGTACAACCTAACCTTAGAGGCATTAATGCTGATACCGGCACTTAACATTTTTTAGTTTATAAACTTAAATATAATTGTTAACAAGGCTTATTTACTTTTTAATTTTATTTTTCTATTTTCAATTAGCTTTTTACCTTTTTTCTTGACTTTATTTCTATTTATTTATCATTAAAGGGCTCATCTAATTGATCAAATGCTAAAATAAGATGTACAGCCATGTAGCAGTATCTTTGCTGAATGGCTGGATATACATCTTGTGCTTCTAGACCTCACTGAGGGACTCCATTTGTAAGATAAATGATAAAAAAACGGTGACTAAAATAAAGGGTTGAAAGAATTTAAGATTTCTTTTCTTCATTTTTTTTCATTTGCAAACTGAAGAGGGAGTTTTTCCTCTCCGCTGTACTGTGGATCAATGCTTGGTGTGAGGGATTGTCTTCGAGTCGATGAATTGAATCAACTGACTTTAATTTAGAAAACTTTGAATCAGTTTGACTGTATGAGCTGGTGAACTGTAAAGTGCCTTGAGATGACATGTATTGTGAATTCAAGCTATGTAAAAAACTGAATTGAATTGGGGGGGGCTCCATTTGTAAGGGGTTTGCAACTGATCAAAAACGGCGACTTGCCCTATAAAGGGTTCAAAGAATAAAATTAAAATTGCAAAATTAAAAGGTAGTTTTTCCTCTCCACTGTCGCTACATGCATGCTTGGTGTGAATGATTGCCGTTTTTTGCTAAAACAACAAAATATGTTGGTAGCTTTATGTAACAGAAGCACTGAGGTATTTTATTTTGATCTAAAAGCTTTTATTTTGAAGTAGCCGCAGGATATGCGGGTTTGCTGTATTTACTTTACGGTTCTTTGGCTGCTCAGGTGCAGCAGCATCACGTTCAAAGGGAAGTAGAGAGAGAGGAGGCAGAGGGAGCGATATTAATAGCCCAGAGCGAAGCTGCTGCGCATCGATAGGACTTAGGAGCAACCAGCAGACAGACAAAAGGCTCTCCTACTGAAAGGACCAGTCGAAATGAGACCGCTCCTTTCTTCATTTCTATTAAGCGCTGCGGCGCTCGCCCTGGCCGGGGCGGCCAGTATGCGCACCGATCCAGGGATCTCCTTCGAGTACCATCGCTACGAGGAGCTGCGGAAAGCGCTGGTGTCTGTGTGGCTGCAGTGTCCGACCATCAGCCGCATCTATACCATCGGAGAGAGCTTTGAGGGCCGAGAGCTGCTGGTGCTGGAGATGTCAGACAACCCCGGGACGCATGAGCCTGGTCAGTTTTTACGCACACGCTCTGCGTCAAAATGCGCCGAGTCTATCCAGGCCATCATTTATCAAGTTATTTTTTCCCGCTGTAGAAAAGCTTTACCACTCGATGAGAGCGCAATAACTCATCAGGCAGTTTTGCGCAAAGCTTGTTTATTCTAATTTAACGCAGAATAAGAGAGAAACACATAAACGAGATGCGCAGGTGTGTTAAAACCGCGTTTCCAGGCCTCTTCTGCATTATAGCCGCCATTTTGCTGGTTGATCAGCATCTTTGAGTCGTGATTGTAGAACACCTCTACACCAAACCTCAGAAAGCGTCCCAGGGATAATGCATCAAGCATTACTCCTTTTTTTCTCTCCAACAAATAGCCTCACACCTTAACATAGTGTTAGAATAAGTGGTATGGTAACCTACAGGCAAAGAGAAGCCAATAAGTTTGTGTTTTATTAAACTGGTTTTAGATTAACGGACATTATTAAAGTCCTTATTAACCAATCAGGGTATCCCTTACTGATACCAATTAACCAGTTTGATCAATTTGGATATAAGACCCATAGCGCATATAAGAGAAAAACAAAGAGCAGCGGGTTCTCTGATAGAGGCAGTGGTTTAGGGCTGAACTGTAAATGGATGAATTACAAGATTATGTCTTTATGCTTCTAATCATATGTTCCTAACCATCACTGGATGATTTAGACATCAGAAGTGTGCATCAAGGTAATTAATTTTAGATTATTTGTTTAAAAAGGCTATCTTGCATTTCACAATGATGACTGATGACCAAAACTTGCTTACAACATAATTACATAGGACCAGACTGACAACACAAAGTAGGCTAATACATTTAAAAACAACACGCCATGCTCCATTCTATGGAGATTAAAGATAGATAGATGTACTTTATTTATCCCAAGCTGGGAAATTGCAGTGTAGCAGAACAACCAGGAAAAGGGCAGCGGTTTCTTTCTAGAATATACAGAGCCAGAGAGGAACACAGTAGTCAAACCTGCTGGTGTTCTGCATCTGCTTTGCTCTTTCAGAATGGATTGAATTTGTCTTTATTGATGAAACAATGAATTCTGCTCAGAGAGGGCTATATCTGGTCTTCTCAGTATTGTCTTACACTCCTGCTCATTTGGGTTAATGACAATGATCCAAAGCGCACCAGCGTGATCCCCTTTAAAGGTTATAAAAAAGTATGTTAAGTCTAATGTGAATTAGTTGTTGTGGCGTGACTTTGAAGAGGTTATTCTTATTTGAAAAATATTGAATAAGGTTGAATAAAGAAGGGAGGATAAACATTCCTTCCCAGTGACTCTGGTGTCCATTGTTGTCTCTGTGTTGTCCGGAGATGGACTGGTGACCCTATTAATGGATCTGATCTTTATGAAGATTTATTGTCTGACTTTTATTTTACTCTTATCCTATGACCTGTTGCTTGTGGCCATGTTGGGATCAGTATACAGTAGGGGGAGGGAAAGAAGGGGTGCCGTGTGTGATTGTTAAACTAAGGAAGGCTACATCTGGGAGAATCTGCAGATGCAAAGACCTCAGTGGAACCAGCTGTAGCTCTTAAATAGTATCTCCATTTGTTGCATCATATTTAACCACCTTTTAAATTATTGGATTCTACATCTAAAATCAAAATTTTGCTTCCACTTTGTAGCTCCTTAAACATGGCTATTTATATTTTAAAAGATTGTTCCCATTAAAAAAATGAAATCTACATTAAAAACAGGGCCTTGAATTTACTTGGGTCGGTCTTCCTTTCAGTTCAGTTGATAACATTTATGGCCTATTCAGTAAAAAAAAAAACACTTATGAATAAGGAATTAATTTCAGAAATAAACATTGATTCTAAATAATTCAAGTTGCTTTTGAGGACCTGTGCATATGACAGCAATTCACTGAAACCAGGATTGCTTTTCCATTTCTGTTAACATACTTACACTTAGACTAACTTTATTGTCATTTTGTATTAACAAAGTGCATACCAAACGAAATTTGGTTTTGTACAGCTCTGATGACATTTCAATTTCTTTAAATGGAACAGTGATCAAAGTGTAAACAAAAACATGGTGTAAAGAACCCATCGATATGGTCAGTTTGATGCAGAGTCTGTGACATGACCTACATAATGATTTCCAGAGTTCATTGATTCCAAACAATGTTCCTTCAGATTTCCAAGCTCCATGATTTCCATTAAAAAAGTGTCTTTTGAAAAACACGGTAAATTACCTGCCCTTTCACTAGTAGATGGAATGCTTCATGCATATCTTATTGTGGTGGTTATACACAAACAGTATAAATGAGGCAAAAGTTTTCAGTTTTAATTAAAGAAAAGTGTAAAATGTACAGAGCCTGAAATGTGAAGCTTTATCTCACCTTGTGTGAGCCAGAGCTTGTCTTAGATCATCCTGGCACGATGATGAATGCCACTGTCACAGACAAGGATTGACTTTTAGACTTTATTTGGTGTAAGTTAGGGCTGCAGCTAACAATTGTTTTAGTAATTTACTAATCTATCGATTATTTTTTGGGGATAATTCTACTAGTAACACTTATTTTTTTCCTGATGTTAATCATTATTTTCAGACATTAATAAATATAAATAATAAAATATTTCAAATCCTAGTACCCTTTAAATGTCCCTGTATTATTCCGTACCATTTATTTAACACATTTACCAATGAAAACCCAAAATATGAATTTGAAATGTACCTGACCTAATGTATTATTAGTAATGCATATTTATTTTTTAGCTACTAAAAAGTCAAAGGAAATCGAGATGTAACTAAAAAAAAAGTAATATTTTTACCTTTAGTGTCTTACAAGGATCATAATTACTGTGTAAAAAGCTGAGCAGCACATTGAATGTCGACAATCATGCTGTCGTTTTTTTTAAGCCAGTCTTTCAGGCATCGAAAACCAAGAAAGAAGGATTCATTTCCAAATATACTCTCCAGCTATCCAGTAAAACATTAAAATCAAACAAAAATATGCAGCAGCTGCACATTCATCTAACCTCAGTAATAAATAAAACTAAAACTAAACTAAGAAAACTAAAATATGCTTAACTTTAGCTGTTGGATATCATCTGACTAAATTATAACTGGCTGTGGGATTTTGCCAAATTAGAATTGATAAATCAAAATGACTTAAATTTAAATTTCTTTTTCTCTAGTATATAGTCTTATTTCAGAATATCTAAAATTTGATATATATGTCTTTCTTTCTATCTTTTATTGGTGTCCTGATACGATTTTTTTCATTTCCAATTTAGTGCAGATATTGCAGCTTAGGTTGTTGAGCAAAACTGACCCAAAACAATATCAGTAAAAATCATACATGTTTTTGTTACTTATCATGTAGTCTAAGATTGTAGAAATGGCATTATGAAATGATTTCACTCAGAGTAAAATAGTCAACAACAATGGATATGAAAACAACTGATTCATTTATTATTTAAGGTATACAAAGGTATACAAAAACTTTAAACCTAAAAATGAAATATCCAACAAATAAATAAGATAAAAATATAATAATTTAGTAGACAAGAAAGGTTTTTTACTGAGCTGCAGTGTTTATTTCAGACCAAAGAAAAGTACAGCCATGCTCTTTTAGAAGACACTTGTTTGAAGTACCCTATGTTAGCTCTGTGTGCAAAACACAAGTGCTGGTAGATAGAATGAACGACATGATCGAGATCGATCTGTTCGCCCAACCGTCTGTCCATCTTGCCAATTTAATCTCCAGTCACTTCTATACTTTCCACTTTTTTAACAAAATAAATAAATTTTTCACTGATCAAATAATGAACAAACAAATAAGTAAATACATAAATAAAAATCGTACATTAAAAAGCATTCTTTATTTACTGCAGATCAAAGTAAAGAAATCTTTTTTAATTCCTTTTCATTGAAGCATACTACAATCATACCAAACTGTGACTTTAAAACCTGTAACCTATCTGTTAGTTTTGTGTCCTGTTACACCCATACCGTTCTGAAGTGAATCGTTCTTTTTTTTCCCCTTTTTTTTCATTTACACGTGTAAAACATGTTGAAATACTCAACATCGAAAACCTTAGAAAATTAGATTTAGTTTTAGATGTTGTCATTAACCGTTTATTGCTCAAATTGTTCACTTTAAGCAGTTTGATAAACAACTTTGGTCTTTATTAGAGAGTTAAAGGATTAGCCTGCAGGCCTTTTATCCCTTAATGGTGTTTGGGAGTGGTTCAATTGTTCCTATTTTGGACTCCTAACATTTTCTATTATCAAAAGGTGATTTAGTTCTCCTTTAAAATCCTTTGAGCCCTCTCAAAAAAAATAAAAAATAAAAATAAGGTTACATAATCCAAAAGTGTCTGGAGAGAGTTTTGTTGGATTTAAAATGTTTCATTAGGCATTTAAGGAGCGTAGGTGTGTTTTCCTCCCCATAAGACCACAGATTTGAAGTACAACTCAGCTCACGGTCTCAAGTACTGATAATTGTACATATTACTAAGCCAGTAATAGTATTGTGGGCGTGTGCCGGCATGAGTCACAGTAGCAAAGTGTAGCCCTTATTACTAACAGATGAGTTTCCAAGCTGTTGTTATTTTATTGCCTCCTTCTCATGCCGAGCAAAACATCTGTTAGTAGAGAGCAGCTTGATGCAGACAAGGAGACGAACAAAGTAGATAGTTACAGAAATCTATGTTTGATTGTGAGAATATAATACTAATCCGATTTGAGGTGTCCCTCAGATATTTTCCTCTCTGTGCACCATGCTCAGACGAAGGTGGAGCTAAAATAGCTGTTGCTGGGGCGACTCATCGGCTTAGTGTGCTGAGCCGTCTGCCGGTTCGTGGTTGGCTGGACGACTGCTTCCGAAAGATGATGGTGTTTAGCCGATGCCTCTGTCGGAGTGCAGCCATCTGTCATACACTGCAGCATAGGAACTGCCCATAGCCAAGAAGGTACACATAGGCTACCACTTATGCAGGACTTCATTTTGTT